ATATCCACAAAGTAATGAAGCCATTTTGTCTCTTTCTTTCAACAAATTGATCAGAAAGTTAGCTTTCTTAGTTCTCAAAAACAGTATCTTTGTTCCTGGTTAACAGAGGGAAAAATCCAAAGCATGGATGGCAAGCATACTGTCATTAAAGGTGCCTGCTCTGGTGTGCTTGGCCTTGGGGAATGCTTCCCTAGTCAGACTCCCTAGACTCAGACCAATAGGACTCAGGGTCACATCTGGACCCAGCCTGATCACATGGTAGACTTGGTTCCAAAGATCTTTTGGTAATTTCCAAAATTCTAATTGACCCTCAAAGGACAAAGATTTGTTAGCAGGGAGGATTTTCAGAAGAATGTGCTACAGGCGATTCCAAAAAGGGGGACATTGCAAAACCTTCCTGAGTCATTTCGTCCCCTCAAGTAACAATTACAAAGGGGACAGTAGTGATTTGGATGTACAAGGCTCTGGTGTGCTTGATTAAGATAGAAAATTTAAAAATGAATCTCCTAACTTTACACTAGCTGTGAATAATAAGGCAGGCAGAAATAAAGACATGGAAATGCATTCAGGGTTTGGATAGAAAAATTCGACTGCCACTCAGACAATACATGACTGCTACTTCACCCCATTCACTCTGATGAAAAAGTGACGCTGACTTCCACCATCAAGAATCAGCATAACAGACAAATTCCTGGGATAACATTTTCTTTGATCCTAATCTACAACATCTGTAAGATCAAGGCCAAAAAAAAAAATCACATCAGAACCTTAATGTATATCTCCCATCTTCCCACCAACTCTACACCTTCCACTACCCTTCTCCTCCCCCCCAGAAATTCCCCGGGTCCTAATAAAAACACATCAAGAGATTAGGCCTTGGTTATTCATTCATAAAGAGAAATGAAGCTCTGATACATGCTACAACATGGATGAACCTAGAAAACATTATGCTGAGTGAAAGTCAGATACAAAAGGACAAATACTGTATGATTCCACTTACGTTATCTAGGACAGGCAAATGCATGGAGACCAAAGTGATTCCCAGGAACTGCGGGGAGGAAGGAGTGGGGAGTTATTGCTTAAGGGGCACCCAGTTTCTGTTTGGATGATGAAAAAGTTTTGGAAATGGATAGTGGTGATGGTTGCACAACCTGGTGAATGTAATTAATGTCAGTGAATTATACACTTAAAAATGGTTAAAATGGCAAGTGTTTGTTAAATGTATTTTACCAGAAAAAGAAAAAAAAAAAAAAAAGAGAGCAAGCCTTCAGAATTTGAAGACATGGTGCTGGCACCCTAATGAACAGACGGACATCAAAATAGGGAAAAAGAAAAGCACTTTCTTCAACCAGACTTTATTTGTTGTTGTGTCTAAATACTTTATTTAGAACAAAATAAAATAGAAATAAAAGAAGAAACTGCACTTTGAAGTTATAGCAGTTCCTAGTTAACTCTTGTTAAATATATGGCACTTATTTGTCCCTAATGAAAAGGAAAAAAATCCTAAGAATTACAAAAACTATCGTAGTTAACACTTCCGGGGCTGGAAAAATACGTTCCCAACATGGTTCTTCTACTAATGTCCTGTAGGGGGCACTAGAGAGGTATGATTGGGGCTGACTTGGGAATCACAGTCATTTCTGGTAAAAGTTCTTTGATGTGAGGAATGTCCCAGCCTGGTACAGTTGGCAAAAGTTCACTCTGGGGAATTTTTTGTGTGTGTGTGTGTGTGTGTGTGTGTGTGTGCGTGTGCGTGTGCGTGTGCGTGTGCGTGTGCGTGTGTGTGTGTGCGCGCGCGCGCGTGTGCATGCGCATGTGTCTTGGGAGAGAGTGGTTGCTGAAGAAAAGAAGAGAGCTAGTCTGGTATTCCTTGATTCCAAAAAGCAAATAGCCCTCTTGATTTATTTTCAAAAGTTATCTCAGAAATGACAAATGGCAGCCTTGGAGAAGTTCTGGGTCTTGTTTTTGTTGTGTTTTTTATAAAAAGGGGGCCCAGCTGATGAAAACAAGTTATGCAATGACCTATGTTTGTGTAACTGGCGGGATTGCGTAATGCTCAGGCCCTGAAACCGTAATAGTCCAGCAGCCAGGCAGGGCATACATCTGGGAGGTGTTTTCCTCGGGAAGTTAGGAGAGACAAAACGACCAAAAAAAAAAAAAAAAAAATCCAGGAGGGGGAGATATGTGGTACAGCAACTAGTACTGACAAAACAAAATCACCCGTGACCAACCTTTGAGATTAAAACTATAACTAGTACAGGAAATATTTTTCATGCTTCAAGTTCCAGTCATATTCAAGAACAGAAGCTTCAGAAAAGTTATCTGCACCTCCCCAAAGTCACTCGAACTGATGGCCCTGTGTTAAGCCCAAACTTTAAGAAGCTAGAGAGGAGAGGAAAGCTCCAGGGTGAGTAAACAGTCTTCTCAGGAATACTGGATCCCATGAAGAAAGAGATCCGGGAAAAAGAATATTCACTTGCCCAAGGGAAAACCAGGAAACCATCTTACACCAACTGGTCCACTGAGACGCCTCAAGGAGGAAGGCCCATCCACTAACTGCCCTGAAAGACTCCCAGTAAAGGAAGCTGAGGGAAACAGAGTGATTATGAGTTTTATCTGGTATGTAATAAAGTTACCTTGAGCCCCAGATTGGGCAGAGTCATAGCACAGACTTGTGAAGTAACAAAAGCCTCTCAGGTCCTTACAACCTCAGAACAGCTCTGCTCAAGGTTGGAGACAGGATTGAAAAACCCTCCCCTGCCCCCAAGGAGTGGGCCAGCTGTGAAACTTGTCTAAAGTGGCACTACCTTGCCAATCCCTCTGGTTTGAAAGGAGCCTCACTCCCATTGTTGGGCCAAAGAGGCAAGCTTGTATGCGTGCACTGCTGGTTATTACTAATTACAAAATCTTCATGTGTTACAGCATGCTAGGAATTAGCCAACAGCTGCTTTTTGCTTCAGTAATGAGTCCCCATTACAGTCTGCTGGACTCAGTCCTCTTCCTTCTTCCTAGAACTGGTTTCCTGTCTGATTTTCTTCCAAAACAGGGAATTGCCTCCACTCACATCCTGGGCTCAAAGCCCTAGTGACACAGATTATTCAGTAGGGGCATTGATGTCCGGTCTAACTTCCCACACGGGCCCCAGGGTCTGAGTGAGGCCAGGCAGCGAGAATGTAATACTGAAATGCTCACCACCACAGGAACAGCAGCTAAAACAACAGGGAAGAAATCAAAGGATCCCTTCATGATGATATGGGGAGAAGAGAAGCGTTTGGCGGCTTGTTGCATTGGAGACTGAGGGAATGGGTATAAATGACTTCAACCCATTGCCTAATGATGTTTGAATCCAATACAAACCACCAACATGACTAGAAAGCAAACATAACGAACTCCTTTTAGGATAAGATTTTAAACCTATCACCTTGCTACACTTTATTAAGGGCGCAGTGACTACCCTTAACGCACAGACCCCGAACTGGCTTTCTTCAATGAGTGATTACGGAGGCACCAGGGAAGGTAGAACGAGCCCCAGTGGCCCAACAGTTAAGTGCAGTCAGCTGCTAACCAAAAGGTAAGCAGTTCGAACTCATCCAGCGACTCCATGAGAGAAAAACCTGGAGATCTGCTCCCATAAAGAGTACAGCCTAGAAAACCCTGTAGGTCAGTTCTACTGTCACATGGGGTCGCTGTGAGTCAAAAATTGACTCCACATCACCTAACAACAACAGGGGGAGGTAGAAGGAAGACACTATTTGGAAACTCACCAGGGGCAGGGAATCACCCTGGAACAAGGTATCCTTTTTCAGGTCCAAAAGCGGCCACGTTTCCATTTTATTCCCCAACTCAGTCTACCCCTCCCTGGAGCCCACCCCAGCCCCTCCTATCTGGCTGGCTTCTAGGGGCCAAAGCCGCCGCCTCACCAGAGCAAGTTTTGCTTCAGAAGTTGGTTGGCCAGAGACTCCACAGATCCTGCCCAAGAAGGGCAGCACACTGTGGTGGACCTTCTGTGTTAACCCAACCCCCTCATACGCCTGGGAACAGGGATCTGCTGCAGAGAACAGGCAGCTAGCCCCACCCCGCAGGCAGGCACCCAACCACCACCATCAGCACCTTCCTGGTATTTATAGACACACGGAGAGCACACACAATCCCTCCAGTGCAAACCAGTCCGGCTGCTTTAGAAACAAGTTGTTTTTCCGCTTCCAGAATCACCCAGGAGTCCAAGTGATGTCTCTTTCCCCCACTTATCTCTGCTGGGCCTCTTTGCCCTGGGTAATCCCAGACCCTCAAGGCGCCCCTGCCGTACGTAGGCAGTGCAGGCTCCTGTCCCTGACCATTCCAGAGGATGGGCGCGGGTCACACAGGTGGCCACCGGAGCCAATCAAGGTTGGCCTCTTCCTTCCTGACCTTCGCACCTGATTCCCAGAGGGGCAACCCTCCCGCTCACTCTGGATTACCTGAATGAGCCCAATCGTGTTTTCAAGTCCCAAACCTCTTTCAGAAATGAACTAAGCCACGGAGAACAGGAGAAGGGAGGGAGAGGGCTTTCCCACAGGAATGGGGTCCCTGGATCTTGGAAGGGGCCAGTGGGCGCAAAGATTTTCTGATTTTCTTGTCTCTCCACCACGGCGGTTGCGGGGGGGGGGGGTCGGGGAACAGGGAGAGCAAGAAGAGAGGTGGGGGGAACCGCTCCTGGGAGAGGAGGTATCAGGTTCCGGGAAGGGTTTATGCAATTCCAGAACAGGGGCTAGTCTGGATAAAATGTAGTGAAAAGGGAAGGATCTGTTGGCTCTTCAAACCTCCTCCCCGCTCCAGCTTAAAAAAAAAAAGTGGGGGAAGGGGCGGGGGGCACAGGGCGAAAATGCAAAATTTACAACCGTGGACTATAGGTACTTTCTCGCAAAATCAAGAAAAGGAAAAGAAAGAAAAATAGGCAGTGGCGGTGAGAGGAGGGCGAGGGTTCGCCCGCGCAGCCAGGTGCTTCAGGGGCCGGCACCTACCTGCTGGCCGCCGCCGCCGCTGGAGTAGGATTCGGCGTGCGCAGGAGAGCCGCTGCTGCCCCGGGACGAGGTGTCAAAGTTCCCGGGATAATCGTGGTACATGATCCGCGGTGGGAGCCGGAGAGGAAACAGGGTGTTTTTCTTCCCCCGCCCTCGTTGCGGCCGCGCACAGGCTTCTGCGCCCTCCTCGCCCGCGGGCCGCGCCTCGGGTCTAGCCTTCCCGCTCGGGCTTCTCCCCGGAGGCGCCGGGCGCCGAGCAGAAGGCAGCGACGACAGCCTCGGGAACAGTGCCCCCCGAGCGCCTCTCGCTGAACAACTTTGCTGCTCTAGAAGCCCCGCGGGACCAGTTGTCCACCCGGTCCCTCCCTCTAAAAAAGTCCGTGCGTCCCTGGGTCCCTCCCCCGCGCGCGCGCCCTCCCACCCCCGCCCGCAGCCGGAGCCCAGCCGGCACAGACGTCCAAACCAAAAATTGGCAGTTGAAAAAGATTAGGGCCCAACGAGCCCTGCCGGCCAGGTGGGGGGCCCCCAAATTTCAGAGAGAGCAAAAAAAACAAAATGAAAGAGAGAGAAAAGCAAGGCTGTCCGCTTTGAAAAACTTCTGCTATTTCCTCCTTTTAGAAAAGGAGCCCGAGAATAAACTTCCTGTGGCTAGACTCGCCGCCCGAGTTGCGAAGCTACTCAGACTAGGAGCAGAACAGCAGCCGGCGCCTGTCCTGAAGCCCCGACGCGCCAGCGGAGAGCTGGCCGGTGGAATGCGAACTGAGACGCCCGTGCGCGCTGAGAGGGGGATGCTGTCCCTGCTTCCCGCGCCGCGGCTCCGGCGCCCCGGCCCCACACTGCTTCCCCGGCGCCCGCTCCCGGAGGGGCCCGCCTCGTCCGTCAGCCCGGGCCCTGCCTCTGCCCGTCTGCGTCTCTCTCTCTCTCGCTCTCCCCGCGGAGCGCCGCTCGCTTGCAGCCCCTTCGCTCTGCCCGAGATGAGTCACTACAATGGCACGAGTTCAACTCCACACTCTTTATTATCCACCCCTGTACCATGTGGATTCACTCACGTCAACCCCAGACTCCACCTTGCAGGGAGGAGCGCGCGAGGGGAGGCGGGGGAGGAGGATCAGGAGGAGGAAGAGAAACGGGAGGAGGCGGGCGGAGTGCTCCCCTCCCTGCCCGGGCTTCTGGCTGCGCTGACGCCAACCGCACACCCCGGCGTGAGGAAGGAAGGGCTGACGAGGGGTTGGGAGCGGGAAGGCGGCGCGGTTCGGGGAGTTCAAGCAGCCCTGCCCCTTCTCCACTCCTTGCCCACCCCCCAGGCCCAGCGCCCTTGGTCTGTCCCACTGGCGCACGATGCCAAAGATGGTCATTTGCCTTAGAGGACGTGAGTGCGGGTTTCCTCGCTTTCGGGTGACGTGGAGGGAGAGGGATTCCCTCGCCAGCTCCCGAGTGTGCGGCTCCCGTCCTCACCCTCCAGGAAGGGGCGCGGGGCGGGGGCCTGGAGAGCGGCCGCGCAGACCTCGGCTGAGTGTTATAAAAAATAATCACAGTCCTGAAGAGCGAGACGGGCGGTTAGTGAGGCGCCACCGCGAGGCCGGGAGCCGAGCTCGCAGAGCCGCTCGCAGGGCGGGCGCGGCCGCGCGCGGT